TAGGGAAAATGCCTGTTGACTTTGAGTGACTCTCCAGTGAAGAAACCTTGTTCATGCAGAACTCTACTTTCTCATTGCTGAAGATACTGTAGAAACAAGACATATGTTGTCTTACCAAATTACATTTCTTTTTTTTTTTTCCAAAATGATATGTGAGAGTAAATGTTTAGGGATGCATTTTCTATTTTCAGAATCGTTTAAAAAACCAAAATGTTTTAAGAAAATTTTTAGCAACAACATATATCTAGATTAAATTTCCATGATAGAAATGTATCAGTTGATGCTACAAGCCTTTCATATTCCTTTCCATTTACTATGCGACTTATTTGGCAGCAGTGTTAAACTTACAACCCTAAGACATTTAGGCAATTGCCAGATGGATACACCTAGTGCAAAAATTACTTTTAAGTATGCATGGAACAGGATTTCCAACATAGTATGAAAAATCAGAGCTGTTCCCTCTTTATTAACAGGTACTGATCTCGAGGACAGTAGAAAAATGCATAAGGATTATAAATGCTCAAATTACATCCTTTAATTTTGTCTAAATTTGAAACTCTTTTTGTGTTAAATAATAATAATGAAGTACCCTGTATTGGTTAAGGAGAAAACGAGAGAATTTAGTTTCATTAAACTAGAAATTCAGAAAATCATAGATGCATGCACACATACAAAGGGATCTGTAAAAGTTACTAGATGTGAAGTCTGTTTAGAGATGCCTAATATTACTAAACCTTCTCTTTTGCAAAGGACACAGTGAGTGTTTTACCACAAGAGGTGAATCAAATCATAAGAATTAATCTCTGATTTTCAAAATAAAACCAAACATACTGCATTATTACAAAGAATTGTTTTTATTCTAATCCAGAAAGCCACAATCTTATAATCAAATAATGTATAAGAGTATCCCGTATGCTGAGATGCTTGGACAAAATTGTACAAATGTCACGGCAAGAAAATTTTGTGTTGATCATGCTGCTGAATTCTGCACTTCATGCATTTTGTGGTCTAGAACAGGTATGAGGATTGGTGCTTTTTCTCTACACTCTGCTAAACAGAGCTGATGCAAACACAGGGCAAACAGTTTTGCTTACCTTCCCATGTCTATAGCAAAGTGCAGGAAGCGGACTGTGTTTGGTTAGCACAAACTGCTGAATAAGTAAGTTTTGTTTCATGAGTCACAAAGGACTAGTTTAAAAATGTTTTTGCTTAGTTTCTATTATGTTTTTCTTTTAGAACCCTTCCCTGCCTTTCCTGCAGAACAGTCTTTTCTGTAGATCAGCTGTCTTCAGCAGCACTAACCCGTTTGCTGATTCTTCTCAGTTCAGCACTAACAAGGTTGGATGATGACAGTGTCTGCTTTAAACTCATCAAACATTATATTTGTGCTTCTTTGCCACTAGTGTCTCTCTACATTTAAATTCTTTGGTACCAGTTTGGGTAAAATACGTGCTGATGAGAGTAGAAATTCTGTGTAGTAAATTAAAAAGACACAGACACACATGCAAATAGAACAGTTTTGCAGAAGTTAAAAAATGCCAGCTTCATTAATTGTAAGCACTAAATCTGATCTAATCAGAGCTACCAAAGGAGTAGGTTGTCAATTATGAAATCAGTCCCTGTGGTATATGTTAAAATATCCACCTGAGTGCACCCATGCCTCTCATCAGTGTGAGGTGTTTTGCTGCTGTGTACTTAATTTTCTTTTTACGTGGTTAGGACTTTCCAGCTTTGAAATATCTTTTTTCTTTTTGCATGAAAAAAAAAAAAACAACATTGGCAGCTTTTGTTTTATGATGCTGAATGCATTTTCCCTCTGCTTCTTGAAAATTCTTTTAATGCACCATGAACAGGATGCTGACATCTTTGGAAATATGAAAAAGGTTAGATTCTTTTTTTTTGTGGTTAGTACTTGCTGCATGTTATTCATACTGGGAACAGAATTAACCTCTAACACAATAATAAATAAAGGCTTAATTCTTATGTGCATGCATTTCTGGTTTAATAAAATAATTTCTAGCTGGTAATACGTTTTGGGAGTGATTGTACCCTTTGTCTATTTCCCCATGTTGTCAAATAGATCGAATGTACAATGAACACTTACGACATGATATATGGTGTATAATTGCATGTGTGTTTTTCAAGTCTGTCTTTGTTTTGTTACAGTTCTGAAGAAAGGCAGTAGAAGTGTAACATAAATGATGACTTGTATTTTCTATGTTTTCAAAAGTATTTTGGAAAAAAATTGCACATATTTTTAGAGAGAACCTAATGTTTTGCAGTTTCTGCATAATTCCTTTTTTAACATAAGAACGGCTTTTTGTCATCTCTGCGTGATTCTGCTGAACTGTAAGGTTCATGTACAGTAAGAAACTTTGCTGAGTCATGGTCCTGAGTAACCGCCTTAAGTACTTCATCCATTTATAAAAGGACTGAATATTGCTGGAGCTAGTTAAATAGAACTGTAATTGAAAATGAGTTATTCATTAATAATGCTGTGTATTGACAAAGGTTCTGTAACATGTGGATTACTGTTTTCTGTTACTGTAGGAAGTATCGAATCCAATTAGGGCTACCTTCCGTTGTTCCCCAACTAACCCTTTTGCTCCTACACCATTCAAGGTTTGTCTGGATTCCAGTGAATGGGTCCCGCTGTATGCGTGCTGTATGTTTGTACATGGCCTGTGATACCTTCTGGAGTACTGCTGCTTCCTCTGCGTTTGCCTCCTTTGTTGAAAGTGATACTGCTCCAAACTTACTGCCATTTCTCGTATTTGCTTGGCTGGGGTGACCTTGGTAGGCAGATGGGTTCATGCACTGTCTGATGCTTTGCATTTTAAATGAAATACTGTGCCATGGCACACTGAAAGTATTTCATGAGTTAAAGCATTTTAGTTTTTTGTCTGTGGCCCGATTCAGGGAGCAAAAGTCTTATGTGTGTGTAAACTGGGGGGGCCAGCGTCTGCTGCTGGTGGTGCATGTGTGGCAGGCTGAGATCTGGAGGCAGGACGTGGTCCTCTCCACCCAAATGGCATTGTAACACCCTTTTTAGCCTTCTCACAAAGGAGACTTGCTTTTACTTTCATTTGAACATTTCATTAAACGTTAGACATGTTCAGTTTTATGTACCTGTGCACAGAGGTACAGAAAGAAGCATTTTGTCAATCAGATTATGGTGGCCACAGTTTGTAAATGCTGATATGTCAGGATGTAGCCGTACATCCACACCTTATACATCTTCTAGAGGTCCTTGTCAGCAATTTTTTGTTCCTTTTTTTTTGGTGATGTTTTCTTGAATTTTGCAAATTTGTTGGACACCATCATTTATAAAGAGTACCACTAAAGCGGTACATTAATTTTGGTTTTAAAACACAGAGGCTACTGTAAGGTCTGCTGATTTGGTCTGCTCTCAACACTGTTATTTCCTCATTTTTTTCTGTATGTTACGTAACTTTCTAGTTAAAACTCTAGGAAGCACTCTGAAAAGTCGTGTTTCTAGAACTACGCTCCCCTTCAATGCTGCTTGAGGTAGAGATCTGTCACCAACATTTCTGCTTGGAGGATACATGAGTTTTTGATTATGAAAAGTCACTTCGAATGTTATTAAGTAGTATTTCCCCCCTACTCTGATTCTGATTGGTAACAATGTCTTTGCTAGAATCTTGCTGCTTCAGTTGAGGTTTATGTCTGCCCTGTAATTCAAGTTTTAGAGTAATAATTTGCCTAAACTGTAGATAATTCATACAGGAAGTTTAGTGATGCAAGGTATCATCTCAGCAGGATGGCATTGTCTTATATTTGAAGCACAGATCGTGTGACTGATACACAAAAAATCATACAGCATTTATATGATTTTTTTTATAAAAACCATTGGCTTGGGTGCCATATTAAAACTTCCCACACTTCTGACATTTAATGACTTCTTAGTTAAGCTCCTAGAACAAGTTTGTGAATGAAAGAAAAATCTTTTTCAAGCAGAAGCAGATTGAGGAAACTGAAATAGGGAACTTGCCTTTTCTTTAAATCTTTGGAGTATACAGAGAATAAAGGTAACTTATTTTCCCTGAGAGATGGGAACTTTCTTAAATCTCAGTAAGACCTAAATTGGTAATTTTATAGTTTTTTCAACACTCTCAATTTAAAGCGGATTGAAGTCTTCCAGGGTGTATATTGTTACCCATTTCACTGTTGCCTCTGATGAACTTTTGCTAATGGAGGTAATGAAAGCTGAAATGATGAGAATAGAGCTATGAAGCTAGGGCAACACCTGAAAATCCTAGTGTTGGGCATGCATAAGCTTCAGAATGATGATACTCAGATACAAGTTTCTTGCCTACATGTTTACTCTCGGCAAGTCAAAATGATATGAATTACAAACTCTTAGCCAAACCCCTGACCAGAGTCCGTGTTCCTCAAGGAAACTGACTTGAATGGAGGCTTGCCAGATTGTGGATTTGGGCATTTAACCATTATATTGCAGTAGTCATATGTTTATACTTTTTAAATTTTTGTGAATATAAATAGATCACATACCTCAAACCAAAAGTATTTTTCTCCTTTGTCATTTAATCTGTATCCTCCATTATTTTATCTTCCCTGTGCGGTTTATAGGAAACCAGTAAATAAACAGGAAAAGTTTGGTTACTGTGGATTTCTTCAGTTATCATCTGTTTAATGTTGTTTTTAAGTTGTCCTTTCAGTTAATACACCAGTTATTTTCTTTTTTCTGGAGGCATTTCTGAAACAAATTCTTTGTTTCCTTTCCCTTTCCTCCTATTTGGCTTCCAAAGCATATGATAGGAAGAAATTATATGCGGTGGCTTTTAAAAATAAAATAAAATGGAAGTATTTTACAAATATGTCATAAAAAAAATCATTTGAGTCTTTGTAAGAGACTTTTTCTGAAATGTAAAGTGGCACATAAAACTTTACTGAATTGGGCTTTTATTGTGAGATCTGTTTGCTTCCAAATACATTTTGGAGTGATGTTATCTCTTACCTTGCCTGGTGTTTGTTTCTATCTTTGATCTCTTGCAGCCTTTCTGTGCCGTGTTATTAATTTAGAATTCCAGCTGCTTGGTATTTAAACTTCAAAGTCATAGCCATTGATTGCCATTTCGACATTTTTGTATACTAGTTTGCCCTACATAGAGTCTGCATCTGCTTAGCCACTGCATTTTTCTTATTCTCCACAGGCATTCGATCAGTCTGATTTAGAGACAGAAAAGACTTCGCTTTGTAACTTGCCTGTGCCCCCTCCTTCAGCATTTTCAGGAATGAGCTGTGATGTTGCACAGTCATCTTCTAGCAGGGTCCCAGAGGATGTGGAGAAGGAGGATGAGTTCGGTTACAGCTGGAGTAAGTTTATCCTTTGTGATAATGTCTGAAATATTCAGTGTTGAAATAGCACTGTAGGAGAAGGTATGGGGGGGGTTCCAGTTTGAACTACTTCATTCTCATGTGCTTTGTGGTTTGGGTGTTAAGTGTTACTGTCAGCTTTCAGTTGTGCTTGGTCAGATGCACATGGTGAAATATAAAACTAATTTGTTCTTCTTCATTGCACTCCAGTCTCTGTTTTCCTCCATGGTCCAAACTCACTATTTCACGTGTAGGACTACTTGAAGAATTTCAATGTACTCTAGGTAACTAATGGCAGTGATTGATGTGATAGCTTCTCTTACGTGAAGGTGTTGCTGGAGGGAATATTACTGCTTTTATGTGTGAAAAGTCATTTTTTAAAAGATGTTTTAATGTTTTCCAAAGTTAGAAGGAAAACAAGGAACTAGAAATACTGTTATAAATCACCTAAGGCTGAGCTTAAAAAAATATGTGGTGTACACCTAAAATTTTCTCATCCAGTTTGGGATTCTTCTGTCAGTTACCACCTACTGGACCCTGATCCTGAATCTCTAGGTGACTTGTGAAACTTTCTAATGTAAACCCAACCTCTGCTGCCCACACTTTTACATTTAGAAAAGATTGTGCAGCGCTATGGAAATCTGCCGGGGGAGCTACACATGATTGAGCTGGAAAAAGGAAGGACAGGTCTGGGACTTAGTCTTGCTGGTAACAAAGACCGATCCAGGATGAGTGTCTTTATAGTGGGAATTGATCCAAATGGAGCAGCTGGCAAAGATGGCAGGTTACAGATTGCAGATGAGTTACTAGAGGTGAGTTTTTATGATTTATACTGAAACCCAAACATACTGACTTAAAATGCACTAGAATATTAGGTTCTTGCTGCTATATAGATGTTCTTCAGTGGACTTCAAAATCCCCAAGTTTTCCAAGTTAATATCACTATGCTACCAGATTTTCATTCTGGTGTATGCCAAATAGTTGTAGCTGGGATTTTTTTTCCTAGTTATAGTAGTAGTAAGTAAAGGTGTCTGTGTGTATTTAAAATGGATAAAGATGAGGGCATGACAGCAATTTCTGGGTTATGGAGAGGTATGGAAGGGCAATGCATTGCAGACCATGGAAAATACTGTAAGTCCTTTAGTCCATCCATCTGTGGAGTGCTCTAGACTTTCTAATTACTACTCTGTCTACTGGAAGTGTGATAATACCAGAATATTTTTATGTTGTGTAACATATAAAATGGAAGTTAAATCAGGGAAACAGGAACAGATCCATTTATATTATGGATGTTTATCTTATGACACATTTGGTCTGTTTTCTTGTGGCTTTGTGGAGGGACCCAATCACTGAACGTGCAGCTAGCATTCCCAATACGTATATGAGCATGATTTTCATATCACCACAGTTCAGCTGATGGTACTTGCAGATGTATTCTCTGCTATAGCATTTCCCATTCTTTCTGATAGCAGTAAGTAACATTACTCTCAAATAAATGCTTTCTGTTAACTTCAAAACTGTATGTGGAGATGTTTGAGGATGCACTGGAGAGATGATACAGAAAGGGAATAGCGAAACTGAACAAAGCTTGAGGGAGACACTGAGAGAGTGGATGATGTAAGTTGGTAGTTGCAGACTAGGAGAGTAACTAATGGATTTGTGGCACTGTGGACCTAGTCGCAAGGAGGGACCTGTTAGTTGCAGAGTCCAGTGTTATCTGCTGGGTGGTTCTCTTGAATCAGTTAAAATGTCTGTTTTTAAAACCTTGACGTTGCAGATGCTGAGTATCCTCAGAACACATTGAAGCACATCTGCCTGAGTCTGCTCTCATGTGATTTCTTACTGTCCACTCTGTAAGCCTGCAAACTGATGCTAAGAGATTGTCTCAGTCTCTTCTGAGAGGAGACACCTGCACTTGCTCCTTATGTTCCTTAGGGCAGGCTGAGCCCCATCCCACAGCTGACAGTCTGTCTGTGGCTCTTCATAAGGCCATGGCAAACACTGAAAGCAGTGCTGCATCTGGATAGTCACCTCCAGTGTAAATGATAGGGCTCAGTATCCCTGTGACCATGCCTGGTGGACGCAACCTGTGTGGAGCTGAGGGGTTTCTGTTATGCTCAACCCTCAGTTCAGTGTCTTGTGGTTATTGCTCACTGTTTGCTGCTTTTCTAGTTCTATTAGTACTCCCTTGGTGTGTGTTGCATTATTTTCCCTAGTGTAGGTCCAAGCTGTCCTTCTCCAGTCATTTCCCCTTTCTTAGAGTGGACTTCTGCATTGTAGTTTTCCATTTCCAAGAACAAAAGCAACTAATGAAATGTGAACAAATACTGGCCTTATTCTGCAAATCCACACTGATACTTCTAATCATATCTGAATCGTAGGAGCTTCAAGCGGGTTCAGTGAGTCTATTCCACCAAACAAAGACAAAAATTGTCAGGTCAAACCTTCAGATTGCAAATTCACCGGTGTTCAGACTCCTGTGTATCAAGTGCCCAGTTCAGAGCTGAGATTTGGTAAATAATAGCAATCTCATTGCTGGATATACGTGATTCATTTATTTGTTATCGTTAGAATTTCCCATGGCCCTGCTTTGTCACAACACCAGTCATGAGGTGATCAGTGGCAAGTGGAAATAGATTATGTGCCAAGTCAACCCAGTATAACTCAGAGAACGACATTTTTAGCACTGTGACAGTGTTCATCTGAAGTTAAACGATAAGGAATTTTTTAGTGGAAAAAGAGAGTGAAAGTGGGACACAACATACTCCGTTATTATAATACAATTGTTGCTTTAGCCAGTGGTGTGGGATAATGAATTTTTTTTTTAAGGGCTTAAAAATTAGTTTAAGGGAATTAAAATATTTTGAGAAATAATTGGTACCTTCCTTTATATAGATAAATGGGCAAATACTCTATGGAAGGACTCATCAGAATGCCTCCTCAATAATCAAATGTGCACCATCTAAAGTAAAAATAATTTTTATCAGGTAAGTTCTGGTTAAAGATTTGGCTAAAAAGTTTAATGTTTAATATGTTCAAGTTTTGCACAGAGTGTTTCTTTTTTATTTTCAATTTTGGTAAGGTAGAAGTGTTTTTGAACCCAGTTCATAGTAGTTGTTAAGTATGTCTTGAGTTTTCTGGTTTGATATTTGCATTGTGAGTGCCAGAAGTAAAGTAAAAGTGCTAGATTCAAACTTGTTCTAAGAAGTATGGTGGTGTATTACCACATTCTTACTACATTCTTTAACTGAATCTATTACAGAAGTAAAGATGCAGTAAATCAGATGGCTGTTTGCCCTGCAAAGTCAGTAGAGGCTTCACAGTGTACTTCAGGGACACTTCAACGTCAAGAGGTAAAGTAAATTTTTTGTTTTCCCCGTTTGACTGAGATACTAACATTGTGCTGGATAGAAGAGTGCCTTGTCTGGTTATCAAATACTACAAAAGAAAAAGAAATCCAAGGGAAAAAGAAGTGAGATTTTAGTAAAGCTGTTAACTTAGTTCAGCTGTGCTCAATTCTGTTTTATTTTATATTAATCTAAACTATGAAGTATATCTAACATCCCTGTGAATTGGGTTATAGCAGTTTAATCCAGAAAATTATCAGACCCGCTTTAAATGTTTGTGTGCTAGTTTATTTTGATGCAAAATGTTGAATGTAGTTGTTCACAGTTATGTTTTCATTTTCTGTTAGATTGATATCAGTGCTGCAAATTCCAGTGCTTGTTTTGACTTCAGTTCATGTAAAAACCTTCAGTATGTTGAACTCCCTAAGGTATGTGCTGAAAATTAAATTTACATCAGCCACATTTGTATTCACTAGCTTGCTTTTTTGTAATAGAGTCCCTCATATGGCAGCCAAACTTTGTTTCTTACTTACTGGAAGTCAGAATAGAGATTTCTAGACATCTTCTCTTCCTATTTGTGAACGGACACCAAAGTTTTCCTCATGCAGTGACTGTCTTTGGCAACCTCATGAGTCTCTTTAACTTCACATAAATTTGCCAATTGCCCTGTGTCTCTTACCTCAAAGTAAATGAATTAGCAGATTATAAGCACCAAATCCCCCAAACAACATAGATAATTAGTTGAAATTTTGCAGCTGTGAGAAAATGGCCAGGTGTTCTGTAACAATGAAGCTGCCAAATGAGGGTGGAAAAAATGCTGTTCCTGCTTATTGGCATGGAGGAGATAGTTGTATTCAGTGGACATAAGGATAGAGACTTGCGGACTGTTGGTAAATTTTCTTCTTGGAAGGCATTTAGCCTTCCATTATTAGGCAGGAGAACATCTTACAGATGATGGTATCCAGATGATTTAACTCTAGGTGACAATATTAGGGAAATTTCACTTTGCCACAAACATTTACTAATCTCACGGGAAGAGCATGCATTTTTCCGTCCTCTCTATTTTCCACTTCTGTGAGTATTTTTTCTGTGGTTTCAAATAATGAATTCAAGCTATATCATGAAGTTTTATTTATCTCAGTTTGTGGTTTCCAAATGTTTTGTGTTTCTTACCCCTATTACGAATTTAACAACTGAATCACATAAAGGGGGTGGATTTGAATTTAGAAATGTTTCAGATTTATCTTGGTAGCCAGTATACTGTTTATAGGTGGGCAAATCTATTTCAGAGATAGATTAGTTTAAAACAGAAGTATTGATGCATTGTGAAAACCGAAACTTGTGTTATGTTTGCAGGCTTCACTAGTCTTTAGTGAAGGTGTTCTAACATTTTGATAAACACAGTACCTAACCGTTTGCATTTTTCTGTTTGCCCCAGGATCAAGGAGGCTTTGGAATTGCCATTAGTGAAGAAGACACAATTAATGGGGTGGTTATTAAGAGCTTGACAGATCATGGTGCAGCAGCAAAGGTGTGAGAACATTTAAAACCCAAATGGGGAATGAAAATATTTTTTGGAGTAACAGCCGTAGCTCATATTTTTTACTCTGTGTTGTTTCCAGGATGGACGAATCAAAGTTGGAGATCAGATCCTGGCAGTGGATGATGAAATTGTTGTGGGATATCCAGTAGAAAAGGTATATCTGAAGTGTCAGGAATGTTGCAGAAATCACAGCTCTTAATGTAGGAGGTGATTGTGTCTTAACAAACCAGTGAGGTTTTCGTGACTATACTCTGACTTCATTTTCAAAGCTGGCTAAAGAACAGAAGATCTGTAGGCATTGTCTGAATAAGGAGAGAATAAGCTAAAGCCTGAATTTAAATCTCAGCTGCTGTTTTACATTTATGCACTACATGAATCATCTATCTCTGTGCTACAAATGTGTTTTTTTTTCCCCTGTGGTTTAGATGTGATGACTGAGAGGCACTTAATTGTGGGGTAAAAGCCATGAACTATAGCTCAGTAATGACTCTTCATAGCTAGTCCACTTTAAAAGTATTAGAACCAGTAAAATTAATAAGTGTAAATTTACATGTGTGAGTTACATCAATGGCAAATCAGTTCATGAACTGTGCTTATACATGGGGAGTGTCTGTAATAACACCTTCGTTATATTCCAAGCCTGATATTTCAACCCATTGGAGAAAACGATCTCCATGCCTAAATAACAGGACTTATTTCTAACTTCTAGCTCTGCGAACTCAGTTTGGGTTCTGTAATGAATCAAGGAGGGCTTTTTTTCTGCATCTGTCTTTCTACCGAGAAAAGTGATTCTTTAGGCATGAGAAAATTACTTTTTGTTTGTTAGAGGGCAATTAGGAGAGCATCCATCTTACTCTTTGATGCGCTGCTCTCTGAAGCACTGAATGAGTAAGAGATAGTAAAATGGTCTGCAGAGACACAGGTAGGCTTTGGAAGAAGAAACAGATTGAGTAGGTAATTTCTGAAAATACTTCTAGTTCTACTTAAATGTAAAGTCTTGGGAGGATTTGGTGTCTTTTCTGTGAGGTGACAATTAATTTTGAAGGTTTTTCAGTATCCCTTTAAAGTAGATTTTGTGTTATACCCTAGTGTCCTTCTCTCCCTCCCGTAGTTCAGATAATATTTTTAGATTTTTTCTTCCAGCTATGCATCTGATTAAGGAGCTAGAATGGCAGTAGCACATTTATTTAAATCAGTAGATGTTTTGGCATTGACTTGTGTAGGATCAGATTTGGGCTCCACCCAAGCATTAAAAGACAATGCTAGTTTTCTGATTTTTCTAATTGCTATAAACATAGTATTTTGTCCAGAGAAGCCATTGAAAGACTGTCACATTCTCATCTGGTATAGTTTGGTGAAGGTTCATGGAAGCTACTTGATTAACAACAGCCAGATCTGGCCCACAGTTAACTCTATTGTGGTTTCTTATAAAAAACATCAGTATTTGTTCTTGTTCATTACCAAGAAAACTTGCAGGATTGTGACTTGTAGCTCCAGTTTGCAGGACAGTTCTTCTGCTTTTATTTTTGTTTTACAACTCTTCACCAGCTTTTCTCTTTATCATTCAGTTTATTAGTCTCCTGAAGACATCCAAAAATATGGTGAGGCTTACAATCAACTCAGCAGAGACGGATAGCCTGACTGCAGCCCCAGTCCCTTCCAGCACTGCCCCAGCAGAGAGGAGGAATATGCAGCCACCAGCAACTGTCCCCTCTTCTAACTCACCGGAACCAGAAGCAGTGAAAAGTAAGGTTCTCCTTGTGTGTCTGTCTTCACTGGGGCTGTGACATAAAAATGAAGACCCAGCTTGTAAACAAGTTTTCTCTTCTTGGATACACTCAGCTGTCTTCTACATTGCATTGTCTAGTGCTAATTTTCAGATTACATATCCACCTAAATAAAGCAGTGAGGCTCCACACATCTTGCCTTCCCACTTTTGTAAAGGTGGGAGGATGGAGGGATTTCCTTCTCCCTCCCAAGGCTGTGCAGCAGGTGCCTTTGTCATGGTTGTCTAGAACTAAGTGGGAGGCATTCCTTTAAATGAGAGAGAAAAGTCATGTCATGTTTCCTAAAACAGGGGAATGGCTGAGACTGTCTTGCCATTTATGACTAGCAATGTTTGACTCTCCCCCTTTAGAGTGGAGAGTTGAGATGTGACCAATTGATGATGGTTATTGGTTAAGCAGCACACTAAGAAGCTAATAATAACTTAATTGAGTAATGCACACATCACAATTTATATGTACGTCACTGCAAGTATTACTGAGTCATGTTTTTATTGCTTATTACTAGCAGTAGTATTGATAAGCAATTATACTACTATAAAGAAATCTTAAGAAACAGACAGGAGACCTACTAGGTAATAATTCTGTTGTCTTCCCTTCTGCATTTAATTTTAGCATAAAATCTATTGCTTTGTCCAAGTCTATCCTTTCCGTCTCCACGCTGTCACAGCAAGTCTTAGGGATAAAGACCTGATGGAGATTTCAGCGATGCTCCCTCTAGCATCCTGCAGATTTGCAGTTGCAGCTTGGATTCACTACCATTTACAGACATCCACAACCCAACTGTTGGAAGATCTCCCTCCTCTTGGTTCTTCACCTGATTTTACAATTTATTCCCCCGCTTTCTTTTACCAAGGATCTCTACCCAACTTTGGTCTTTCCAGCAGCACTATGTAGGCAGTTTTTGGCCCAGTAATGATGCAGCTATCTAGATGAGGCACCCTTGCACGCCAAGACATCTTTCCAATTCTTCAGTCCATGTATTCCATGTGCATTTTATTCTTTCTGGACAGAGTTATTATACTTAAGCCTTGACTCTCCTACTTAGCTCAAACTTAAGTATGAGCAGTTGCTTATCGTACACACAAAGAATTTGCATAACAGAGCAGTAGAGTAACCTGTTCTGTACTTGCACAGAAGCTTTACCCTTAAAAAGTCTTAATTGCCTTTCTGGTTCCCTTCAGAGGCCAAGACTCTTAGTTTTGAGACTTACTGTTCCTGTAAGACAGTATATCTAAGTATATAGATATTTCTATGTCTATAGAAATTTCTGAATGGTCAGGTCCTCTGGTAGTTTCAGTGGAAATTCTTTTAATCAGTGCCCCGTTTAAAGTGCCTCAAAAGCATTTAGATGCCCATTTTTAACTTTGGAAACACTGTAATTTTGGTGTTTCATTAAAGCACAGAAGCCATCAGTGACAGAGATAATCTGAACATCCCAGATGTTTTGATTGCTGATTTTTCCCTTTAGTCACTACACAGTATCTCCTCCTAGTATTTTTTGACTTTTTTTTTTTGTGTGTGAAGAGTACAGAACATACTAAAATACTGAAGTAAAGATCCATTTGTGACATACCAGAGATACTGAATTTACAGATAAATTGCTATGTAAGGATACCATATATATTTGTACTATGAGAATATATATTTACACCACAAAACTTACTGCTTCCAAAAGCTGTGTCAGTGGCCAGTTAAAAGTTGGACGGGTGTAAAAAAATTCTTTTTGAGGGCCACTAAATATAATGATATATATAAAAACTTTGACTTGACCCCGGATTGCTGGACTTGCGAAACCACTGTATTTGATTCATATTTAGCATTCTTTCTCATGATACAGAACTGAGTCTGAGATGGAATATTTAGTTAGATGGACCTTGACTTGACCCATTGAAAAAGTGCAGGGCTGATATCCTTGAATCCATGTATTTAATACATACTCTGTACTTCATTTATCTCTGATCTACATTGTATAGTTGCTGGTATAGATGTTTAAATCAAATTCTATCCTAAATAGAATCTGTTGTGTACAATAGCTTCTTTGGCTGTCCAGACTGTGATCCAGGTACTTAATGGTATATAAAAACTGGACAACTGTGATTAAAACTACAGTGCAGTACTTTTCTGAGGGGATGGGAGAGTTGGCAGCATCATTCTCTGTAGGTCAGCTTTTCATCTGTTGCTGGAGTCCTATCAGTGGACTCTCAAAATGCTGTTTTAAGGTCACTTTTCTAATATTGAGCCCTCTTACTGTAACTGGGATGTATAATTGTTGTTTTAGACACAAGCAGATCTTCAACTCCAGCCACATTAACCTCTGACCCAGCTACTTGTCCCATCATTCCTGGATGTGAAACAACCATTGATATCTCCAAGGGGCGGACTGGTCTTGGTCTGAGCATTGTTGGAGGAGCAGACACTTTGCTGGTTGGTTGGAAAAATATGTGTGTCACTCAAGTGAAATTATGTTAATGAAATTAAAATGTCTGATAGAAGAGATTTTTTCTTAATTTGTTTCTGTAATATTTATAGAAACATACCAAAGATACCAGTTCAGGGAAAAAAAAAAAGAAAAAAGCACTTTCGAAAGTATAAATGAACTTCTTAAATATTGTGGCAATTGTTCATCATACATCTGACTGTTTTGTTTATCACTGATAAATTATAGTAGGAATTTTCAGTTGCTCTTGGTTCAATGTAGGGGCACGTTCTTTCAACATGCAATTTATTTTTGTTTTATTTACCCGCAGGGAGCAATTATTATCCATGAAGTATATGAAGAAGGAGCAGCATCTAAAGATGGGAGACTGTGGGCTGGGGATCAGATATTAGAGGTGTGGTGGTTTCTTTGGTCATTTTTTTCGTCATTCGCTAGCTAGGCATCTTCTGTTAGTCTGATGGAAGGTCCTGCACACTTTATCATTGTATGCTTTCATTGCAGGTGATACACACGATGAAGCAATAAATGTCCTCCGGCAGACTCCCCAAAAAGTTCGTCTGACTGTGTACAGAGATGAGGCCCAGTACAAGGAGGAAGACATGTATGATGTACTGAATATAGAGCTCCAAAAGAAGCCTGGCAAAGGCCTTGGACTGAGTATTGTTGGGAAAAGGTATGAATGTACCTGGAGAGTCAGTGTCTGGGACACGCTCATGTTTCTGTTGGGATCTGGTGCTCAGATTGAGTGGGCTTGAAGGCCATATATGTAATTTTTGTACCTAAGCTAACTGGTCATTCCTAGAGGAACATGCGCAGCGTTACTCAACAGAAAAATGAGACAATTATCTTCCCAATAGCAAGCCATAAAAATGGCCCTCAAACAATGCTGTAATGCAAAACCTATGTGTATTTGCAGAAATGATACAGGGGTGTTTGTGTCAGACATCGTCAAAGGAGGAATAGCAGATACAGATGGGAGATTGATGCAAGGAGACCAGATATTGACAGTGAATGGAGAAGATGTTCGAAATGCTAACCAGGAGGCTGTTGCAGCTTTGCTAAAGGTATTGGGAAAAGAGAAGGTGGATAAAAGTGAAGAATTGAGATCCAGATTTTTTGAAAGCTGTAGTTTTACTCAGAGTGAGTTCAGATTGTTATTGAGATGTCAGTGAGAATAAGCTGTGGATCCAAATTTACATTTCCTAAAGTCTAGAGCATTCAGATTTTGATACTTTGCCTGATGAAAATGGGAGTAGTGATGGTGCAGCGTGCCATATGTTTATAGGGCAGTAGAATACCGTTGCCTGGAATAACCTAAAACTTAACACTGTATTTTCTCCAACAAACTGATAACTGGTTAGCTATCTCACATTTTTAAGAAAGATACGGAGAACTGACTTTAAATGATGGATAATTCATCAGAGCAGTTGTTCCAAAATGTGATTACTTTCATAGTTGATAATGTTTGTCTTTTTCCTGTGTATGTCTGTTGTCACCTTACATCCATTAAATACTATAATGCATTTTTTAGTGACCAAGGCACATAGTATAAGAAATTGATTTCTCACAAAGATGGCTGAAGTAAACTCCTATCTGCAGCTCTTGGAACCAGAATTTCTTGTCTCAATAAATTTTATGCTTCTGATGTCCTCCTCCCATTTCCAAATCAGAATGAAGTCAGATACACAACATTTCCTGTGGTTTGATAGGAAGTCCAGCTGGTCAGCCAGCTTGTCTGTTTCCCATCCAGGGTTTTGAGACATTCCT